ACAATCGCGAAGATGGCCCAAGATGGCCTCCAAGTCCGCCCAAGATGGTCCAAGACGGCCTCCAAGACGGCCCAAGAGAGTCCAAGACGGCCCAAGAGGCCCCCCAGAGGCCTCCCAGACGGCCCAAGAGGCCTCCAAGAGGTCCTCCAGGAATTTGTTCCTAAGTTTTTGAACGAGTTTGGAATTTGCCTCTTCTCGGCATTCCGACGGCTCAAGACGGCCCAAGAGGCCACCAAGATCGCCCAAGGGGCCCCCAAGAGGCCCCCAAGAGGGCCCCATGACGGCCCAAATGGCCTCCAAGACGGCTCCAAGAGGGCCCCAAGATGGCCCAAGAGGCCTTCAACACGCCCAAGATGGCCTCCAAGACGCCCAAGATGGCCTCCAAGACGGCCCGAGGTGACCCAAGAGGGCGCCCAGTCGGCCTAGAAAGGCCCCCAAGACGGCTCCCGACGGCGTCAGACGTGCCAGGAACCCACCAAGATGGCCGAAGTTGGCTCGAAGCTGGCAAGAAGGCCCCTAAGAGGGCCTCCAGGAAGGCCAGAAGAGGCAAAAAACGCTGATTTCCCTAAGGTTGTTGACGGAAATTGACATTTCCTTCTTTTCGGCCTTCCCACGGCCCGAGACGGCCCAAGAGCCCCCGCAGATCGCCGAAAGATCGCCCAAGAGGCCTCCAAGATGGCCCCAGAACGGCCCAAGAGTGCCCGAAGACGGCCCCAAGAGGCCCCCAAGACGGCACAGGAGGCCTTCAAGACGCTCAAGATGGTCTCCAAGACGGCCCTGGAGCATTCCAAGAGGGCCCCAAGTCGGCCCATAGAGGCCCCCCAAACGGCTTCCGACGGCGTCAGACGGACCAGGAGCCCACCAAGACGGCCGATCATGGCCCTAAGATGGCCCAAGACGGCCCAAGAGGCCCCCAAGAGGGTCTCCAGGAAGGCCCGAAAAGGCCAAAATCGTTGATTTCCCATTGGTTTTTGAAGGATTGTGGCATTTGTTTGTTGTCTGCCTTCCGACGGCCCGAGACGGCCCAAGTGCCCCCAAAGATCGCCCAACAGGCCCAAGACACGGCCCCAAGAGGCCCCCAAGACGGCCCAAGAGGTCTCCAAGACGCTCAAGATGGCCTCCAAGACGGTCCACGAGCCCTCCAAGACGTCCTCCAAGAAGGCCAGAAAGGGTCAAAATGGCCTCCAGACGGCCAAGATGACCTTCAAGATGCCCACGTGTTCCCCGAAGGCTTTCCAAACCGATTCGGGGAACACATGGTCCGATAGTTTGGCAGGTCTGGCCTTAACGTTCGCCCACATAGGCGCTTCCACAAAGGCAGGGGGCGGCGGTGATTCGCCGTAGGCGTCTTCGATCAACCCGTATAGTAGGGATGCGCGATGAGGATGCAAGAGCCTTGGAAGCCCATTCCGAGGCTTTTCGATCGGGGTGCGGCCAACGAAAGTGCCCAAGGATGGACCGAGGATGCAAGGATGCAAGGGTAGCCTTGGCAAGGTTGCCCGTCCTTACTGTGCGAGTTAACTGTAAGCAAACGAGCTCCAAGAAGCCCCCGCGAGGCGCCCAAGAAGCCCTCAGGAGCAACACACAACAACCGCCAGTCCCAAAGGGGGTCGGCGGTGTGACAGATACCTAAGAATCAGACTCAAGAGCATCATCTGCGAATGCGAAATGTGGCCCAGCTGCTCGAATGCTGCACCTGCGGCAAACGACGGGGCTGACCTCGGCGGAGCAAGAACGAGGAAATGGGAAGAGCAGGAGGGGAATGAGGGACGGGGAACATGAGAATCGGGGGCGTTCAAGAGGGAGATGTCCAAGAGCAGGGTTCGCAAATCATGGCCTGAGGGAGCCAAGAGACGTATTGAAGTTTATGTTGCCCCCATCGTACTCAAGGACCACATCACAGAACCAAATCCGAGCACCTAGAAAAGTATCGAAACAGCGTCGAACGAGTATCGCCTCCCAGGGCCCGTCACGCGACAACCCTCCAGTTTCGGTACTTTCCCGGTGCTCGAAATTCTCTCGGATGGTCCAGGCGAAGGAGGGCTGGAACATCACACATTGAAGCAAGAAGAGGCGGCATGAAATTCGGGTCGGGCGAAAGGGGGGGATAGCAAAGGGGGGGTTTGAGAATCAGCTCACGTAGCTGATTTTCCCGGCGCCTCCCGGCGCCGGAGGCGGCTATGTATCGAGGAATGGGCCCCTCGGTGAGGCCGAAACCAGCTGCATGCAGCAAATTTCGTAACCCCCCCTTTCCCAATCCCCCCCTTTCGCCCGGCCCGAGAAATCTGGGAGGCATCATGGCCCCGGCCACGATACCCGCCCCACCCAGGCACCACCCCCTCTCGGACGCTCCCGAGACGAGCAGGGCGACCCGCACGAGGAGGGCGACCGGGGACCGAGCAAACGGCGGGGGGAGGCGGGCAGACGGCCGGCGGGGCCCTCCCGCCGGCTCCCCCCCTGCCCAAGACCCCCCGGCGCTGTGATGCGCTTGCGCACAGCGTGGACACCCAGAGGGTGCGTCGGCGTCAGCGTGTGCGCGTCTCCACCGAGGCCCTGCGATGCGACGCAACCGGCGCCCCTCTGAGAGCCTGTCGGGACGCGGAGCGAAGCAGGAGCACCCTCTGCTCGCCTCGGGGGCGTCCAGAGAGGGGGGGTCGCAGAGCATGGCCCGAGGCACGCTCGATGATCCCGAGGAGGTGCGTTGGCGCCAACGTGTGCTTGTCCACCGAGGCCCTTCGATGCGACGCAAGCGGCGGAATCAGGGCGGCCACAGGCTGTACGCTATCGGCGGAGCTGGACTGGGTGAACACACACAAACACACACACGCGCACGCACGCACACGCACACGCACACGCACACGCACACGCACACGCACACGCACACGCACACGCACACGCACACGCACACGCACACGCACACGCACACGCACACGCACACGCACACACACACACACACACACACACACACACACACGCACACACGCACACACGCACACAAACACACACACACACAAACACACACAAACACACACCCGCACACACCCGCACACACACACATACACACACACACTCTCTCTCTCTCAAACCTTTAAGGAAGAGGAGTGGGGACGGGCAAGGCGATGAACACGCTATAGGTATGGGTGCGAGTTGCCGGACCCCGAGGGGCCTTCCCTCTCGAGCGGTGACCCCCCTCCGACAACACGCACCCATAGCCTCTCCTGAGAATTCCACCCCCAGGAGTTCTAAGGGACGTATAGATGTGGGTGTCAGTTGCCAGCTCGGTCGGCACGGTGTTCTCGGGTCGCCGCTGGAGCCCCCCCTTGGCGGCGCCTCCGGTGCCACTCCTGGCGCGCCTCGCCGACCCTCCAAGCCCGCGAAACTCCGGAAGTGGATGCTTGTGAGGCTTGCTGCCTCGTTCGAGTGACACCAAGATGTCTGGGGCTTGGGGCGCAGAGGCGATCCCCGGAAACGTCCTGGGATCCGCTCTGCCTAGACTTTCAGAAAATGACCTCCTCCTCGGCCTCTTCCTCCTCCTCCTCCTCCTCCTCCTCCTCCTCCTCCTCCTGGGACCTGCTTTGGCCAGAAATGAGAGGCCCGCAAGGGGCGGAGCGCGCTCAACTCGGGGGGACGTGAAGGTTGGGCAGGGGGGGCAGCATTGGGGCTCGAGGAATATCGCCCGAAACGACCCGCCCGAGAAGGAAATGTGAGCATCCAACCGGGCATGCTCCCTGACCCCAGCTTGGTACACCCCCCCTCTCTTCGGCGGCGAGCGAGGGGGGGAAGCGAGAAGGAGAAGGCATGCTTAGAAGGTTCGAAAGTCCCCCCCTTCAGAGAAGCTTTCTAAGCCTTCCCCGACCACAGACAACAACTTCTCAGAAGGAGCGAGGGCTTCTGCGAAGCCCCGCCGCCTTCTCAGAAGGCCTTTCCCCCCCTCGCCCACCGCCGGTCGCTGCGAACACCCGACCAGCCACCACTGCCCCCGATGAACGATCGGCCGGGGACCCTCCTTGCTGTGCCGCGACGCGGCGAGGCCGGCAGGTCCGGAGCGGCCAATCGGGGGGCGTCCAAGAGGGGGGGGCGCAAATCATGGCCGGCGGCACGTGCGCAGCGCAGGGGGGGGGGCCAGGGACGTAATGAAGTAAGAAGAGGCGCCGTGCAATCTGGGGAGACATCATGGCCCCCGCCATGATATCCCCCCCCTACAGTCGGGGCGTTGACCTAAGGAACCCTAAATGAGGAACGAAGCCCCTTTCTCCCAGAAGTTCAACCTCGTCGATTTCCGATGGAAAACCTCAGGAGAACCCGAGGCAAACTTTCAAACAGTCAAGGAACACCGAGCCCCTCCCCATCGAAAAGGGTTCCTTCTTCAGGGCCCCGACTGTAATCATCCCCCCCCTCTTTGCCGCCCCCGAGCGGGGGACGCGCCCGCACGGGCCAGCGCCGCGCCGGGCCAGCCCGGGCCACGCCGCGCCCCCCCCCCCGCCGGCCGCGCAGCAGCTCCCGCGGCCCGGGTCGGCCGTGGGGGAGCGGCGGCGGGGGGCAACTGTGGGGGGGGGGGCCTCATGGGAGCGCCGCTAGAGGCAGCGGTGCTCCTGAGAAGCCTCTTCCCCCTCCCCCCCCCGGCTTGCCCCCCCCCCCTCTGCGCGCCGCCAAGCGGGGCGGGTCGGCTCCACATGGCTCCCAGACAGGCTTCTAGATGGGGTCCGAGCAGATGGGGGTCGGGGGATCGCGCCGCATCGTCGCTGCATCGGCGACGCCAGGCGTGGAGAAAATCGGGCCCCACATCCGCATCGTCGGCGCATCGACAACGCGGCGCGCTCCTCCGACCCCCACCTGCTCGCGCCCCACCTGGGAGGCCCAGAAACCCGCGCCGGCCGTCGGGCTCAGAGGAGACTGGCTGACGCCCCCCGTCGGCGCTGCCCCCCCCCCCCCCGGAGTCCCGTGCGCGGCCCGAGGCTGGCTTCCCCTCCGCCTCTACTAGCCGCAGGCCCCCGGGGAGCCTCGGGGTCAGGCCCAGCGGCACGGCAACCGGCCGGCCAGGCGGAGGTGGCAGCTCCTGCCGGGGGCTCCCGCGGGCGCCGCGGCCCCGGAAGGCGGGGAGGCCGCAGGCCCGGGAGCGGCCCGTCCCTCCCCACTTCTCCTCGTGTTCCTCCTGCTCCCGATCCTCCACATGCCTGCGAGCACCGCTGCCCTGAGTGTTGAAGGTAAGAGGTCATGACCTTTGTTTTCACTATCTCGATTCGCCTGGTGCTAGGCCGTCGAAGCCACCATCACCTACGCAGTTGAGCGTGACGTGCCTACGCGGGCGACCCTGGCTTCTGCCAGTCCGACGCTAAAACTTCGGCAAAGATGTGTACGGAAAAACCTTGGGATGCCTGCCCGCGAACAGCACGTTCGCCTGCGAGCGCCAAAAGACTACCACGAGCACGCGCAACTGTATGCCAGAACCTGCCAGTACAACAGCAGGCTCCGAGCGCACGGCACGCCTGCGAGCAGCGCAGCCTGCTCGTGAGCACCACCACGCGCTTGTGACCGCCAAGCGGCGAGGAAACCACAATAGCCTGCAAGCGTCAAAGAATGCACCAGATCTGCCTGCATCACGAGAGGAGCCAGGAGCCACACGCGCATGCGGACATACCAAGAGATCCGACGTCGTGATTTTTTCCATGCGCGGTCCCCAGAAGCCTCGATCCATTCCCCAGGACCGGTTTCTCATCCTGAGTCGTTTTTTGGCGGTCCCGAGGCCCGGCGAGGGCCCCGAGGGGCCGAAACTTGCGCAAGAACTCCGTCCTGATGTTTTCAATGAAATGGAGCTCCGGGTACCAGCGCGCCCGCGAGCACCACAGCTCGCCCGTGAGTGCCACGGCGTGCCTGCGGCGGCCCGACGGCGAGGGAAGCTGGTCCCCGCCGCCAAGGTCCACACCTCTCTCCTCCCCCCTCCCTCCCTCCCTCCCTCCCTCCCTCCTCCCTCCTCCCTCCTCCCTCCTCCCTCCTCCCTCCTCCCTCCTCCCTCCCTCCCTCCCTCCCCCCCTCGAGCGCGCATCGCTTTACCTGTGAGCACCAGGCCAGGAGAGCCTGCGACCGCCACATGCGTTTCAGCAGCCGAGGGCACGTGCGACCACCGCACGGCCAGGGAAACCCGAGCCTGCCACTGCCACAACCACAGTCGAAACGCTGTCATAAGGAACCCTGAATGAGGAGCCAGGCTCCTTCTTTTCCACAAGTTAGACTTCGATTCCCCATCGGAGGCCCGAGGAAAATCCAAGACAGGCTGTAAAACAATTCAGGAACACTGAGCCCATCCCTAACGAAAAGGGCTCCTTCTTCAGCGGCCCGACTGTACCACTCTAGCCTGCGAGAGCCAAACTCATGCACAACGGCATGGGCCTGCGAGCGCAACAATGGGCCTGCGAACAACACCACGGCATGCATTTGAGCACCACAGTGGCCTGTGAGAGGCACAGTATGTCAGGAAGTATCACACTGTGCTGTCAAGCATCACAACACATTGGCGCGCGCCGCAAGATTCTGGCGAACATCAACGTTTGCCAATGAACGCAACGATACTGTGCAAGTGCAAGAGGATGCTAGCAAACACCACAGCACGCCTCTGAGCTGCAGAATGCGCCTGACCACCACGTGCCCTCGAAAACCACAACAGCCTGTGAGCACCACCATGTGCCTGCGAGCGCCACAGCATGCGTGATAGCGCCGCATGAGGGGATGAGGAAAGGAAGAGGGAGGAGGAGGAGAAGGAGGAGGAGGAGGAGGAGAAGATGGAGGACGAGGATGAGGAGGAGGAGGAGGAGGAGGAGGAGGAGTAGTAGTAGTAGTAGTAGGAGGAGGAGGAGGAGGAGGAGGAGGAGGCTGTGAGCACACGAAGAGCATGCGAACAGACGAAGTGCCTCTGGGCGCTGCCAAGTGCTGGTGACCACAAGACTGCGGCCAGCTACGATGCTGTTTTCACACGCCGCCCAAGCTGCCACCAAACGTACTCGCGCCCACCTCCTGAGACTGCAACCTCAATGCCCTCACCCACCCAGCCAATACGTTACAGCCCACACACCCTCACAGAGCCGCCCAGAACTGCATCCCAAATAACATCACCCACCTGCCTAAACCTGAAACCCACGTATCCCTGCCTCTCCGCCCAAAACTGCATATCCTCACCCTCCAGCTCAACCACGAAAACACACGCATCCCGACCCAGTTGCCGCAAACTACATCCCAAACGTCCTTGACCACCAGCCTACAACTGAAACCCACACATCTTCACCCACCCACCTGAAACTACAACCGTCCAGCTCGCCTAGAAACTAGAACCATCACCCACCCGCTTAAACTGCAACACGGACATCCTCAACGACCCGCCGACCTGCAACCCATATATCTTCACCAACCCGCCTACACCTGAAATCCACATCTTCACTGACCGCCTAAAATCGAAATCCACACATCCTTATCGACCCGCCTGGAACTGCAACCGAAACATCTTCACCCTCCAGCCTAACATTGAACACCGACATATCGTCACCCTCCTACCGAAAACTGCCATCCAAATGTCCTCGCCCCTGGCGGGTATAAAGCGCCATCCAAGAGCACAAGCGAGCTAAATCAGTTGGTCGATCAGCTCTCCCCCCCGACGAAATAAACAACAAGCCTCGCCTGTGCAACAATGCCTTCTCAGGTCTCGTAGCCGCGCCCTGCGCCTACGTGGTGCAAGGGAAGTACGTGGAAGGCATGAGCAGGATGATTATGGTGATGAGGAGGGCTGGGGGTGCGAGGAGGTTGGGGGGCGAGGAGGACTTGAATTGCAATGTCATCGGGGCGCCTTGATCCCGAGAGTTGGCGATTCCCTAGCGGCACCTCCCCGCAAATGCCCATCGTGAAAGACCCTCGAGGCCAGAGCAATGGCGATGAGGAGAAGGAGGAGGACCAGGAGGTAGGGGAGGGTGAGGAGGGTGAGGAGTGAGGAGGAAAAGGAGGGGGAAGAGGTGGAGGGTGGTGGTGGTGGTGGTGGTGGTGGTGGTGGTGGTGGTGGTGGTGGTGGTGGTGGTGGTGATGGTGGTGGTGGTGGTGGTGAGGAGGAGGAGGAGGAGGAGGAGGAGGAGGAAAGAGGAGGAGGAGTTCAGTTGAGTTCAATTCGCTCTGGGAAGTCCGAATATCGAAAGTGCCGCTACTCTGGACTTCTGAGCGTCGCCTTCGCGACTGTCTACTCTCTCATGGAAACCGTGCTGGCCACCATGCTCCCTCGAGCACCGCTCGCGCAGCCCCTCCAGGGCGACCGCCGTTCGGGCGCGCAGCCCTGGCGGATACCCCTTGGGGACCAGCGGTTCAAGCAGAGCCGTCGCCCGTCCCGCCCAACTCACCACCCCCCGTCCCACGAGCTGTCTGGCCTCGCGACCCTGCGCGCCATCTGTGCGTGCTTCCTCCACTCGGAGGGCGCACAGCATCACCTGCGTTCACATTCACTGCGTCCCTAGGAGAAGCAGGGGTGGTGGCAGACCGTTGACATTTTGGCTCACGTCGGAACTCGCCCTCCGCTTGAGACGAAACGATGTCCGTAGCCATTTTGGCTCGGACCTGGCTCGGCCCACTGTCGGCACGCTGTCCCGATTGGCCCGTCGTGGCGAGGCCGGGTGGACGCACGGGTGGAGAGCTGGCGCCGGCCGGGGTGGCGCTGCACACGATGGTCGGCCCGGGGGCTGCTCCATCGTGCTGGGACGTGCGCTCGGCCATCCATGTCTTCATGCCCCGCTGCGGGGCTTACTCCCAGCGCCATTGGCATCCTCTCCTGCTGGTTCGAGCTCTGACAGGTGATAGGTGGCACATTAGAGCATTCTGCCATTGAGGTCCGGAATTTGTCCAGCTGCCCGCAATGTGTCTCCGTCCTCGTCCAACTTCCTGAGCCTGGGAGCCAGTCATCGGGCTTGCCCGTGGTTGGACACCACGCTGGCAGGACCTCCAGCTTGTCTGCGTGGCCATCGGGTCTCCGGCATGCCAACGGTGGGCGCCCAGTCTCGGCCACGAGAAGGTGCAACTTCCTCATGCCAATCTGATTGTGCACGGCTGGGGATACGGTCGTTTCTCTCGTTTTTCTTCGTTGGAGCCTCGGTCTTCTGGAATGCCTCTTCGGCCCTCTGCTCGGGGCGCTGCGCGTCGGCGCCCGTCCTGGAGGACTCCGTGCGGGAGGTGTTCTGAGGCCGCGCCACTGTCCTCCGCATCATGTGCGGACTTTGGGCGCAGGGGTGCTCGCCAGGAGGAGGGGGCGGAGGAGAGATGGGGAGGGACCGCTGCGCTGCGCTACTCCCGATCGGCCAAGAGGCCCTGCCAATCTGGAACTCGAGGGGACATGTGGGCCCGTGCCTCCGGCACCCAGGCAGTCGCGCGATCGTCTGGCACCGGCTGCTGCTGCTAGGATAGGCAAGAACGGAAGCATGAGATGGGGCGGGGAGGAGGGGAGGGGCGGCGGAGGGGGGGCCGCATGTAGCTAAATCGGTGGCGTTCAGCTCTGACGCAAATCTGCATCATGCTGGCAGCGCATCGTTGCGAGGGCCGTGGGCCGCACGGCAATCAAGATCATGAGGGCGAGGGAGCCAGGAGACGAGGACCCAGGGTGGAGGATGCAAAGACCAGGCCTCGCCTGCTGGCTGGAACGGCCTGGGGGACAGCATCCGATGTCGCACCAAGCGGGCTGTTCGCGGAAGGGTTGGCCGGCACACCCAAAACAGCTGCCGACGCGCCTGCCGCTTGGGCCGTTGCCCCGGGCGCCCACTTCATCACGGGAAGAAGGTGAGACGCAGCAAGGACGGCCGACGACGTGGCATCAGCAAATGCCTGTATGGTGTGGTCCTTGAGCGAGTGATGCGCCCTATTCGGAGGGTAAACAAGCCGCAACGTATCCTGGTCATATGATGAAGTACAGCTGCACCAAACGTTGAGGAACTAGTTCGTGCAATCTGTCGGGAGGGGCGTCACCGAGCGTGATTTGCGCGCGCGG